ATATATATATATATATATATATATATATATATATATATATATATATATATATATATATATATATACTGTTGTTTTTGTTATGCTTAGGCTGACGATGTCTGCTGTAAAGGGGGTCAGCAACGTGAAAGTCCTCATCTCCTTTCACTACAGTAAGAACTCTTATACACCTCAACACCTGCGTATACACCTCAACAATACCTGCGTATACACCCCAACAATACCTGCGTATACACCCCAACAACACCTGCGTATACACCCCAACAACACCTGCGTATACACCTCAACAATAGCTGCGTATACACCTCAACAATACCTGTATATACACCCCAACAATACCTCCGTATACACCCCAAGAGTAGCTGCGTATACACCTCAACAACACCTGCGTATACACCGCAACAATAGCTGCGTATACACCCCAACAATAGCTGCGTATACACCCCAACAATAGCTGTGTATACACCTCAACAATACCTGCATATACACCGCAGCAGGTGCGGCTGCAAGTGGGGCTCTTGGCCTTCTGCTAATTCTAAAAGCAGCAGCAGCAGCAGCAACTGCAGCAGCAGCAGCAGCGACTGTAGCAGCAGCAGCAGCAATAAAACACGCAGCGAGAGCAGCCCTTGGCTCTTGTTGTATCGGGTACTGTGTGTGATGTGTCTGCTGCTGCTTCTGCTGCTGCTGTTTCTGTTGCTGTTGCTGCTGCTTTTGCTGCTGCTGTTGCTGCTGCTGCTGCAGTGGATCCCTCTCTTCCTGCTGCTCAGTCTCCTCTGCTGCAGCAGGCTGTGTTGCTGGCGCAGCAAGAGGCTGAAGCAAAGAAGGAGCCGCTAAACCTGGTGAGACATTCTAACTTTCTTCTGGGGTGTATCTGCAGCTATGGGGCTGCATGCGCACATATACTGCATGCATTTGCATGAATGCAGTGTACGTACAGTTCCTCAATCCCACCCAGTCGTGCTCTAAACCCTAAACCCTAAACCCTAAACCCTAAACTCTGTGGAGCAATTAAGGAAACACGGCATGACAGAGACACCTTGTGTTTAGAGTTTAGGGTTTAGGGTTTAGGGTTTAGGGTTTAGAGTATATAATGAATGTTGTAGGGTTTAGGCTGTATGATCTACGATTAAGGGTTTAGAGTTTATGGCTTGGGGTTTGGGGTTTAGGGTTTAGGGTTTATTAGGGTTTATAGTCTATAATATAGGGTCTCCGATTGATAGGGGGTACCTACAAGTAAAAAATTAAAAACAATAACAACAACAGAACACAATTATATAAATATATATATATACATAAATAAATATATATATATATATATATAAATATATAAATATATATATATATATATATATATTTATATATATAATATTATTATCTATCAGGATCTATCATCAATGGGGGAGAAAGAAAGACTAACTTTCTTTGCGAAAGTATTAGAGGGCCCCCTGCAGCAGATGGCTGCATCGGGTACAGCCTGGACGGATTT